TATCGTACGGAGTTCACCCTTCGGTAGAAATACTGACTAAATAGATTTAAAACTGCTATGAGAAAAATGTCTCCAATGGCGCAGAGTGACATTTGCCAGTAGGACTTACTTCCTGTGTTCTAACCTAGTACTCCCATATATCGTTTCATGTTCAAATATTTTTTCATATTAAAGCTATTTATTCAGACCATGTTCTTAGAGATGCACCTGTTTCTAGCTAACCAAGGATTGCATCAAGGAGAACATACTGATCGACAACTAATCAGATACATTTTCGATCATTTTGTCCAAAAATACAACGGTTGTAGAGAGTAAAAGTAAGGGGCTGAATTGTACTGTGCTTACAGAACCGGACTGGCACAACTGTCAATTTCCCAATTCTTCATGATCACCTTACTAGTCAGGGTCGGGGTGTCAGAAGAGATTGTAGAGAGCGTAAGTGTGTTGCTTAAGCACACATGTACAGCCGACTGTAAAGAATGACCTCAGATGATGACTGGGGATCCCGTGAAGTAACGTGAAACGGGGAAGCATATCCCGAAAATGAAGACTCAAAATTCCTACGAAGCAGTAGCTCTTTCGGATAAGAAACTTATTAAATGAAGGGAAAATCTTTATGGAAGGATTAGCGTAGGCTCGATTGTTTCACGCTACCAGTGAGCTCATTGTTAGAAAACCGGGAAAGTCGCTGCAATAAACAAACCTCGCCAAAAAACTGAAGAAAACGTCGAATAGCTCTGGAATACCTCCAGGTAGTGATTTCGCCAGTGAAAAGAGGACGTTATCGTATTTTTCCTCCATTATTACCTGTAAAAGAAACTATGACGACAAAAAACTATTACCATGAAGTGCCTTTAAACACTAAATGATACGAACGTTTAAAAACATCATAAACATAAAACGTTCAGCTAGTTTCTCTGAGCCGCTTGGGGAAATATGACCATATTAACAGTTGCAGGATAATGGGATAACGAACTCATAAGAACACTGAAGCGCATATCAAACCATTTTACTTTTATGAACAATATATAAAGCTGTAGAGGAGTAAGTGATTGGGAAATTAGGAAACGACAACTGCAATCTCCAGGTCTATTACCTTCAATCTAAAAAATGTAGGTGAAAAATGCAATCAAAAGCGTGAAGTATAGCTGTCTCAGAGAACTCGTAAAAACTGAAAAACCTGAACTAGGGAGAGGTAAAAACGGGCTTATCAACACCCCTCTGCTTACTAGAGATCCTTTTTTCAATTCCAATCTGAATCCACACCCAGCTTAACAACCTCCCTCGGAAGCCAGCTAATCTACAGGTCCCGTCCGTGGCATTTTGCCGAAATTTGCAAGCATTTTTCATGGATGGCACTTTCAGGGTAGAGCGTCCAAGGTGTTTGACAGTGTACTCTCAGAGCCCCAAGCGGCTTGAACAGATGATCGTAATTCTACTGAATGAGCCGTTACAGCTATATCCTCTTAGATGGCCTGATACCAAAATTTTTGATAGCAATAGGTTTCCCATTCAATATAGCCGTCATCCTGTGCCCAAAAAATTACCTACAAAAGAAAAGGAATGAAGCAAAATCAAATCGTTTAAAACAGCTTGCGTAAGTCCCTGATTAGTCATTTCATAACTTTAAAGCAGTCAAAAACCTCCAATAAATGGCAGCAGGGATGTAATCACATCTAATGGTCAATCTGCCAGTGAGCTTACCGGTACGCTACCCGGCAACCAGGTGACTGCAATCAAATGCACTTCAAAGTAGCTCGAATATTCCACGGAGACGTAGTATTACGTGAAAAGAACGCAATTGCACAACGTGCTTCCCCTGGATGTCTCGAAAGAGCTGGCAATTGTAAAACACGAAAAAAGTTTTGGTTGAGATAAGCGAGAATGTTCCACACCGCGTCTCTTGGCAGATTCTGCTTGCCTTCTTCTTTCATTTGATTCTCCACTGATATTACGGCCGGGTTGCATATTCTTTTACAGAGCCTGTAAGTGGTCTCTTTCTCAGTTCGGTGTCAATGAGACTTGACGCCGAAGTATGAGAGGACTCAGTCACCAAACTTCAGAAAAAATGACATACTGAATAGAAATTGCTAGAAGTTTTCGAACACGTCTACTCATCTATTATGATTTTGCCAGTTTTTATCAATTATTCGTTATTCCGGAATACAGCGGTGTTCAGTCTTCAACATAGTACAATTTCAAAAAAGAGGACTGAGGTTCTAGAAGCTGGTGATGCCAGGGATACGAACTAAGTACTTCCTAGCTGCATGGCACTTGTCTCGAGCAAATAGCCACTTGTCCGAGAGAAATCTCATAGAATCTCTACGACTAATTGGCGACAGCTTGTGTTTCTAATTGTTCAACGTTGCTTACCTCTAAATATACAAACAAATAGGAGCTTTCCAGCGCGAAAACGGCAACCAAATCTGTGGATTTCGTCACCTAGTGGTTTCTTAAATAATTGGATTATCCAGGAGTTTAAGAACAATGATGGAAAGTTCGCCCCGCATATCTGGGAGGACTAAACTTTGTGAAGGCATCAGCTAACGGCTGAGTACTACTACGTACTGCCTAAACCCGAGAAACACGGAACATTCGATGTGAAAGTGGACCAGTTCGATTTGCCTATAAAGACGTCGTACTACGTGTTTGAGACGCAAATGCACGACGTATTTTTTGTACGACAAACGGGCTGGAGCTTTTTGTGTGCATTACTGCTTTCTTAGTCACCGTTCCATAAGAAAGCTACTTAGGTTTTCATCGTTTAGCTGCATATATGAACAAATTCTTGGGTCGGTCCTACTTCAATAACCATGTTTCCTTCTCAAATGTTGCGGAATATTTCGTTTTTCATGCATACAATTGTATTGTAACATTCAAACAATATAATTTAGACGAGCCATTTTGGATTCGGTGAGTTGGTTCTGGTGGAGCGGTCTTATAATGAAGATTGTATATTCCGCTGGGGTCACAGTAACACCCGTAGCCCTTACAATTGAATGTGTTGAGCATCTAGAATGAAAAATAGGAAAATGTCTGGGCTGGAAGTGAAAAGTGGGAAGGGATGTTGCGAAATGAGCGGGCATAGTTACAGAACTAAAGGGGCATTCTAATATTCATGATCATTATGTCATGAACAACTTCGGTCTGCCTCTTTTTTGTGCGCCCTTTGAGACTGGCATCGGTGTCTATTCGACCCAATGGGTAGATTGGGATACTAACTGGTAATATCTATGGTAATATGCATCTCTACAAGATCCTCAGAGTTAGATTTAACTGGCTTCATTGACACAGATCTAAGCTCCGTCAGTCTATCGTAAGTGGTAGAAGTATTGATTTTACGCGCGTAAAACTGATGTGTAAAGGTCCGATGTCAACTATATCTAGTCAAGCACTCGTAAAATCAGTGACTCTGGCCGATAAACCTACTTTACCAGGCATATGGCGATCTCATTATTGAGAGGTTTTTTTAGGTAATGCTCTACTAATGGTCAATTCCGAGACGCGGTTAGGGTAAAGTCAATCTCCTGTCATTGATTTCGGAAAAGTCTTGTTAACCATGTAGTAGGTATATTCGAGATAATGTGACTGGTGAATTTTCAGGATGGTTTTATCGAGGCTTTCTCGACTT